AACTTCGCTTCTTCAATTGTATGTAATAAGTTTATTTTTGTGTCAAATATTTTTCTGAGTACTTTAGTTTTATCCGAAGTATAAAAGTTTCTTTTACAGATTTTATTGCTGAGTTTACAAAATGAGCAGAGTATTTTATTGTCACAAGATAGATCTTTAGCTTTGCAATATTCGCAAATTGTAAATCTTTCTCGTGTTTTAGGAATTTATTTTTTATAATCAATGTGTTTGGGCATGTTTGAGCTTTGGTCAAAATCATGTCCTTTATATAAGTTTTCCTGTTACTTTTTGTAATACTTTGTTATTTATAATTCTTCTTCAATTATTTATATGATTAATAATATATTTGATATAATAATTAATGTAAATATTTATACAATTACAATGATAAGTTGGGTAAATTATAATTTGACATTTTATTTGATGCCTTGTTTACTACTTTATTTTTCAGGGGTGTTTTTCATTTTTTAGAGTTAATTATTTCTGAGGTTACTAAGGTATTCTTTATGTAATTTATCAAATTTTTCTTCAGGATATTCTTGTCCTAATATTACGAATTTTGCTACAGCTTGGTTTCTCCAAGTTGTTATTTGTCTAAGTCTTGTTAAGTAATTGTGTTCTCGATGCTCTTTAAGTTTTCTTTTTAATTCATCATTTTTAAGGTGAAGTGTATTATTTATTTCTTGATGGATTTTTATTGCTTCAGCGAGGTATTTTATATTTTCGCTTTGTTCGATAGCTAATTTTTTCTAGGTTCGTTATTCCTGTTTCATTTGTTCTATCTCAGTTCTTTCAATTTTTTCAAAGTTAAATTCTTCAATTTCAGTGGTTATTTTGAGTTTTTTATTTGGTATGAATTCTTCTTTTTCGATTTCATGAATTTGATCCTTTTTTTGTTTTCTTTGGTTTTCTACTTCTATTTGGAAGCAAATAGTACATTTTGCATTTTTTAGTATTTCCACAGGTGTTGGTTGTTTACAACCAATACATTTAGTGACTTCTTGGTAATATCCGTTAC